CCCCCCAAACCTCACACATCACCTCCATCCTACCATGGCCCCCTAGCCATAGCCTGGCCCCTACCTTGCCCCTGTATACCACACCTCCCTATAAGCCAGAGGCAGGCAATAATTTTTGACTGGGGGCCACGTCAGAAATTTCTGAAGTGGCCACAAGTGGGGCAGGGCCCAGACACTTCTGTGCTTCTCCACCCACAGATCCTGATTGTCTGGGGGTGGGGGAGCTTGCAAAGTCTCTCCTCTCCCCCCCTCCCACCTGCTGTTCTGAACAGCTGGCAGACCCTCTAGGTACCTGTGCCCCTGGCAGTGGGAGGAAACTTTGAGTGCTCTGCGCTGTTGCCCCCTGGTCAATAAGGGCCTGGGGAGGGGGAGCATATGACGTCTTTTGCTCCCTGACCCTGCCCTGCAAGGGAGTGCCATAATGAGTCAACCTCAGCAGAGCAGCAGTGTGTGGGTGACTTTCAGTGCTGAGCCCTTTGCAGGGTGGGAGGAGACTTCATGCACCCCCCCCACCAGCAGGCTGTGGGGAAGGGCTGAGTGCACACCCCCAAATTAATACCTATCCCCCACCCAGATCCCCTGGAGCTGAGCTGGTGACCAGTGAAAGCAGATGTAACACGTCCTGCGAGGAGCTGGTGAGAAGGGAAGGGGGCTTAGTGATTAGATCTGGAGTAGGGGCAAGGCTGGGGACCAGGACTCTTGGGCTCTCTCAGTTCCGGGATTGGGGGGGGGGAGAGGCTGGGTGCCAGGAAGCCTGGGTTTGGTCCCCAGTGAGAGGAGAATGGGGTTTCATGGTTTGTCTTCCATCCCCCTTCTCCCCTGAAACAGGCAGCGGAGGGACTGGACTTCAGGGGCAGCTCATCCCCTGGTAGAGGAGAGGAGATGCCTGGTGAGAGACCAGGTAAGACGGGAGGAAGATCAGCATCCCTGCACTGCCTGCCTCCTTTGGCTGCCTTGCTCCCTAAACACGCAGCCGGCTGTTTCCCCCTAACAACCTCTCCCTTTGTCATTCCAGAGCCAGTGCTCCCACCCACCGCTGGAGCTCCTTAAGTGGTTGCGCCTGGGCCCCCTATTGCTGGGGAAGTCTGGCTCCACCTGCTCCCTGCTGGGGCCCAGCCACTGACCACCCCAAGCTGTGAGAGCAGGGGAAGGAAAACTGGCCATTCTATGCAAAGACCGGTTGTGCTGATCTGTATATCTGAATGTACATGGATGATCTGCATAAATAGAGCCTTGCTCCTGGAATGTGCTTCTCGAGTTGCCCCAGCCATGACCAGGTGCCACTATCTCCTGGAGTCTCTGCATGCTGGGTGACACTCTGGTACCTGGTAGAGATTGCTGTGGCTGGGGAAGCTATGCTCTAGCTATGCTATGGGCAGAGGCCTAGTGTGGTCTTCCAGGCCTCTGGTCACAGAGGCAGGCTAGAGAACCTCCCTGAGTTGCATAGACAGGGTTTTAAAGCTACAGTTTTAGGGTGGCCTTTCTGGGGTAAACCCTTGCAGAGTCCTTCCAGAGGTACCACCATAGAGTCCGTCCCTTGCCATAGAGATTCATAGGCAGAGCACTCCAGGTAGGGTCTCTCTGACTAGGCCTGAAGCTGGCATTGCTCTAGCTCTATGGGGAATACTGTATGGTTCTAGCTCAGCTCCCTATGCTAGCAGAGTGGTCAGGGAGGGGGTGGCTCACTAGAGCACACAGTGGACTAGGGACACTTAAGGCAGGTGGCCATTGGTCCTCCAGGCCACAAATGAGCCTGGAGCACCCCCCCTCGCTCAGCCATTCTCTATGTCTGGGGAGTCCTCCAGAACCAGTGCATCAAAGGGGAGGCTCTTCACTGACAGAGCAGCTCCCCTGGATGGGGAACCACTTCCCCCACCTCATTTCTCCTCCAGCAGTGACAAGTAGACACTGGTTCCTGCAGCAGCCCCCTTGCCTGGCGCTGAGATGCAGCCACCTCTGGGGCAGGCTGAGTGTCAGGCAGGTAGAACAGCTCTACCCCTCCCAGGAAATCACTCACACCAGACACTGGTTGATATTTTCTTTACTTGTGCCCATTGCTCAGCCTTAGCCCCCTGCCCCATGTCACACATGGCTATAGCACAAGAGCCACAACTCCATCCCCTGCAATCCCAACAGACAGCGCACACAGCTGCAGCTCCCAGGCAGGACCACCTTGGGTCCCCATTTGGGATCCCAGCAGCCTCAGGGCTTGTGGAGCAGAGGAGGGGCAGGACCCCACAGATTAAAACAATTTTAAAAAACCATGTACATAAGAAGATGGCAGGCGATCAAGCAGCAGTAATGCCCAGGGAGGGGGTCCAGTGCTTTAATGGGAGGTAGGGCTGCTCAGGGTCCCCCCTGAGCAGTTATGAGGGGGGAAGTTGCCCCTGCCCCAGGAGCAGAGGGGCAACCCCTTACAGAGCTTAGCAAGGTTAAAAATCTCCTGGGGGAGGGGAGATGGGGACCTCCCCAAGCGAGACCCCAGTTTGGGTTAGGGCCCTACAGCAGTGAGATGGGATGGGGAGGGAGCCCCCTCATTGCAGGGGCTAGCATTAAAAAGCCCAGGCAGACACCGTTAAAATCCACCCCCTAGCACAGGCCAGGCCCCTGGGGGGCAGCAATGCAGCCCCTACCCCCCCCAATCAGAAATGGTCGTCGTCCTTGTCATCCTTGACTCCCTTGAGCCGCAGGCGGGCGAAATCCTCAAAAACTATGTCGTCGTCTTGGCCGTAGCTGGGGGGATGGAGGGATGCAGGATGAGGGGGGCTGCTCCCAGCCAGCTTGGGAGTAATAGACTCCAGCCTGCTCCCAGCCCCAGAACCCACAAGGGGGTAGGCTCTGCCCAATGTAAGCACCCCTCCCCTTTTTGCCCCTAGCACAAAATGTCCTGTGGGGCCCAATTAGGGTTTCAAACATAAACAAGCCCCCTCCCCAAGTATGTATATTTGGGTGTCTGGGAGCCCCTCTACCATTACCAACACTCAGGGTGGAGTCAGACCCAGCAGGGCCATAACAGGAAACACCTACATCCCTACCCCTCTGACAGTCTGGTATAGCACTCGACTGCTGCCTCACGGATACAGCTGCTCAAATGCCTCCCTGGGGCCCCCTGCACACCACCGCCTGCTGTCCGACCCAATGCCCTGGGCTGGAGTGGGTAATTTCGGGGAAGGACTCTTACTTGGTTTCAAATTCGATGAGGTTCGTGTCAACAGGTGTGTCTGCCTCTGGGACAACTGTGAGGAGAGATGAAAAGAGGGTTATTTCCCCCAGGCAACCTAGTGTCCCTCCTCCAGCTCCAAGATGCAGCCACCTCTGGGGCGTGGTGGCTGGTTTAAAGGGGCTCGATTTAACCCCTACCTGACTGGGGCCGTGTCAATGCAAACTGCTCAGGGGGCTTTGGGTGCATCAGCACGAAGGGCAGCTCCACAGACACATCCCTGCAAGGGCAGAAGAGCCAAGAGGAGAGTCAGTGAGGGGCCAGGATCAGGGGTGTTGGAGGGTAACAGAGCCAGATACTTACCCTCCCCGGGACACAACCAGCTTCACTTTAACACGGTATGAGACCAAGATCCCCAGAACCTCCTTGTTCGCCCCCTCCTTGACTCTGAAACAGAGCATGAGGTCAGAATGCACCTAACTCAGGCAGGGCAGCCTGAGGTGCAGCCACCACTTGGGTGGGGGGGACGACAGCGGAGGCTATGGGGATGTGGACATGAGCCCCTCACCCCACTCACATGGTGCTAGAGGCCAGGTTGGTGTCCTCGTGCTTGAGTTTCCCATCGAGTGCCAGGCCCCGCTTCTCCCGGTTCTGGCTCAGCAGTGGTGTGAGTGTGTACACCTTGCAGAATGTGGAGCTGGGTGACACCTGGTCACTGGACACAGAGTGGGCAGGGGGTGAGCAGTTGAGTCCTAAACCCCATCAAGGACCCCTGTGAATACCCAGTACCTCTCTGCAGCCTAGCCATGGATGCCCCTGCTAGTTATACCCCTCTGATCAGGACTCCCTACAGCCCTCCATGTATCCCTCCCTACTGGCCCTGCCTGCCCCTCCCACTGATGTGTGAGTTCAGGACCTCTCCACCCCCCCTCTGCCCCAGGGACTGGGGTGGGGGGAGGGGAGCACTCACTCTTGCTCGATCTGAGCCACTGGACACTTGTACTGGGCGGTGCTGAAGAGGCAGATGTCTGCGTATTGCCGCACTGCAGAGAGAGAGGGGTGTCAGCCATGTCGGGGGCATAAGCAGCCCCCCAACACCTTCCCATGCTGCCCTCTGCCCAGGGGCAACCCCCCGCACTTGTGAGCTATTTCCCACTGGGTATGCACAGTCAAAACTCCCCAGCAAGTGCACCCCCTCAACTCCCCCCCACACCCTGTGACGCACCTGAGACTTTGATTTTCTTGACGCTTTTGCTGGAGTTGTTGGTGACATGCACATTCACGCTGATGGGCTCCCCGTGGTAATAGAGCTGTGGAGGACACGAGGGGATAAGTAACGAGTTCCCCCAGCTCTACTGGTGCCACTTCCCTCCCCCATCTGACCCTGCTCCATTGCCCCACCGTTCCCCTGGGATCTACAGTTCTCCCCTCCCCAGATCCATGCCCTGGCCAGCCCCCACCTCCTTGTCCAGTGAAGCCTCGAGGTGGAGGGACCGGTCAGACATCAGGAAGTGTCGGGTGGTCTCTGCCATGGGCTGGGGGCCCGGCTTCTCTGGAGCGTACTGCACCTTTCGAATCACCAGGCGCACTGAGTTCCTGTGGGGAAGGGAAGTCACAGCCTGCCCAAATACCTGGGTCTTCTGCCTGGTGGGGGCTGGTGAGTTATAATGGGGACAGATGGACCGGGAGCCAGGACTCCTGGGTTCTCTCCCAGGTTCTGGTAGGATAGGGGATCTTCCTGCACATTTGTAGCCTCTACCCTACATGGGGGACTTTAGTACCTTTTATGAATCTTTTCTTCTAGGGATTTGGCACAAAAAGCTCGGATCTCATAATCAACCCCACAGGCCTGAGAGGGGGAGAAAAATCCTGTTAGCCTGGTGCCCCTCACTTTTGACCCGTAGCCTCGCCAGCCCAGCCCTGGGCTCTCCCAGTGCCCCTCACTCCCGACCCACAGCCTCTCCAGCCCAGCCCTGGGCTCTCCCAGTGCCCCTCACTCCCGACCCACTGCCCCTGCCAGCCCCGCCCTAAGCTCCCCCAGTGTTGCTGGTGCCCCTCACGCCCGACTCTCAGTCCCACAGTCCATACCTTGCCTGTGTCCTCTGGGCCAGGCTGCAGCGTGACTGAGCAGGGCAGATTCTGCGGGATCTGAGACACAGGGAAGGTTAAGCAGGGCTCTGACCCCTCATAGGGCACTAGGGGTTAGGTGTGTCACAGGGCCCTGCATCCCCATGTGCCATCAGATGTGACTCCCAGCCGGCAGGTAAAACAGAAAGTTTAGTAGGTGACAGGGATACAGTGTAGAACAGACTTGTCAACATAGAAACCAGCAGCAGCCAGGGCCCCTGCCAGCCCCGCCCTAAGCTCCCCCAGTGTTGCTGGTGCCCCTCACGCCCGACTCTCAGTCCCACAGTCCATACCTTGCCTGTGTCCTCTGGGCCAGGCTGCAGCGTGACTGAGCAGGGCAGATTCTGCGGGATCTGAGACACAGGGAAGGTTAAGCAGGGCTCTGACCCCTCATAGGGCACTAGGGGTTAGGTGTGTCACAGGGCCCTGCATCCCCATGTGCCATCAGATGTGACTCCCAGCCGGCAGGTAAAACAGAAAGTTTAGTAGGTGACAGGGATACAGTGTAGAACAGACTTGTCAACATAGAAACCAGCAGCAGCCAGG